CAAAGAGAAATGAGATATTGAATTTATAGATAGAATGTACGATAGATGGATGAAAACATGAGAAAAATGATCATATTTATAGATGAATTATATTTTTTTTAATTTTTATTTTAACGGTTAAATTTTCAAATTTGAATTTTAACGGTTGAAATTTGAAATTTGAATTTTGGCGGACAAAATTTGAAATTTGTCCGTCGAAATTTGAAATTTAAAATTTGAAATTTGAAATTTTTACTATAAAAATATATCTGTTAAATTATGATTGTTATGAAAACTATACTCGTTAAAATATAACCGTTAAATTTAATTATATTTTTTAATAAAAAATATGAAAATATTAAAATGACACTCAATTTTGACACCTATCATTTACAAAATCACATTTGGCACCCCATTTTTGGCAACTCTCCCAGGAGTTGTTCTTAAAGCAACTCCAACAGGAGTTGCCATCAGGGGTGTCATCCCCATAATCGCTAAAATGACACCCCAATTGCAAAATTCTGGCTCCAACAGAGGTGATATCAGAGGTGATAAAATGACATATAGGGTTTTAGGGTGGCATATTTGGCAACTTTTGAGAGAGAATAGAGAGGTTGCAAAATAGCCGTTGGTGGCTACTGTTCCTCTCAACGACTATATTCCAAAATTTCTATAAAAATATAGAGAGAAGAAAGGGGAAGGAGACTTGCCTGAAAATCGCCTGAAAATCATTGGTGTGGAATTCTACTTGCCTGAAAATCGCTTCCCTAATATTGAAAACCCCTTGCCTTTGATATCAAAAACCCCTCTTCTGCCATCTCCAGTGAGCTTCAGGTGAACTTCACCCACCAGAATAGGAGCTTCAAGGTTATGGGTGTTTTAATTTGGGTGATTTTGTTTAGGGTTTAGGGGAAGGGGAAAGGGTAGGGTCTGAGAATCAAACCAGGAAGGGGAAGGGGGTAGGGTTTGAGAATAGAAGGGGAAGGGGAAAGGGAAGTCTCTGGATTGTTCCAGAGTTGGGGTCCTATTTATTTTAGGTCAAATGACACTTTATACCCCCAAAGTTAATTGTATTGTCATGTTATACCATTAAATTTTTTGGTATTGTCATATTACAACGTGTTTTATTTAATTGTATTGTCATATTATACCATTAATATTTTTTCTATTATCATATTAAACCGTTAAATATTTTTGGTATTGCCATATTACACCATGTTATTTAATTGTATTGTCATATTACACCATTAAATTTTTTTGTATTGTCATATTATACCATTACATTTTTTTGTACTGTCATATTACACTGTTAAATTTAATTGTATTGTCATATTACACCATTAAATTATTTTGTATATATTATTTTATCTTACCTTTAAATTGATTATAATTTTTTTTTTGTAGATGGATACACAATTTGACGGTTCTTTCACTGATTTGCTTATGAACGACACTGATTTGAAAATTTATATTTTTACTATAAAAATATATCCGTTAAATTGCGATAGTTATGAAACTATACCCGTTAAAATATAACAGTTAAGTTTAATTATATTTTTTGTTTATTCTTTAAATTGATTATAATTTTTTTTTTGTAGATGGATTCGCAATTTGATGGTTCTTTCACTGATTTGCTTATGAACGACACCAATTTATATGATGATGCTATGTAGACCAGTCCCACAGTATTAACGCCTATACAAAATGAAGTCGTTCAAAGAGTGAGAAAATTGCAAAAGACAAAAAACTTCTCTGTAGAAAAAGATAAATTAATTGTGTCTGTGTGGCTTAACACGAGTAAAAATGCAATTACTGAAAATGAACAACAAGGTGGTGCTTTCTGGCAAAGAATATTGCAATACTTAGAACTTCATAAAGGCAATCAAGAAGAGCGTTCACAATCTTCTATTAAAAGTCGTTGGACTGATATAAATGCAAAATACGACAAATTTGTTAGTTTTTATAGTCAAATTGAAAGACTGCGACAAAATGGACACACCGAGCAAAATAATGTAATGATTAAACTTTTAATTTAGACACTACTATGATTTGATATTTGAACTATTGACTGAATAATTTCATATGTTTTTCAGGTTGATGACGCAAAAAAAATCTTTGCTAAGATTATTGGAAAACCATTTCAATACGAGCATTGTTGGAATATATTGAAAATGGAGCGAAAATGAACTGATAATCTTACTAGCAATAAGAGAGTAAAAACTCATGAGACTGGTAGTCCTACTAAATCAACTCATATTGAATCTTGCTATTCAACTCCATATTTAGGGGGTGATACTAAATTCTCGACCACTTCCAACCTCGATAGGCCATTGGGTAGAAAGGCTTCGAAGAAACAACTTCAAAACAAAGAGAAACAAATCGGTGTTGAAGCATCACTAGATCATCACCACTGGAATGAAAGAATGGAAGTGAAACGACAAAAAGTTGAGTGACACGATAAAATTTATGCTCAACAAGAGATAGCATTGGAGCAACATCGTAGACAGTTATAAATTGAAGAAAGGCAGGTGCAACAGACTGAAATGCGAAATGAAATGAAAATCATGAAAACTGACACTACTGGAATGGACCCAATTCCTGCAACATATTGGAATAACCTGAAGATAGAAATTATGAAAAACCGGGGTTTTAATTTTTAGTCGTTATTTATTATGTTACTATTATTTTTAAATTTGTAGTCATTATTTTTTATGTTGCTATTATTTTTAAATTTGTAGTCATTATTTATTATAATTTCATATTTTATAATTTTTAGTCATTATTTATTATGTTGCTACTATTTATGAAAAACTGTGTATTGAAAATACAACTTGAAATTGGAATTGGAATTGAAAATATACAACTTGAAATTGGAGTTGGAATTGAAAGTACAACTTGAAATTAAAATTTGAATTGAAAGTACAACTTGAAATTAAAATTGGAATTGAAAATACAACATAATATGGTCATTGCAATTGAGAAAATTATTAGTCGCCATGTCGTTCCTACAAATGCTCGATAAGATCTGACTGCAGCTGAGAATGAGTAACACTGTACCTGATCTGACAATGAGTTTGCATGAAGTCTTTCAATTTTGGTGTATACACATGCGACACTTCTACAAACGGATTTGCATCACTTCCATCAAAGTCATTGTTACCAATATCTCATTCATCCTCAATAACCATATTATGCATTATTATGCACGCTTTTATAATATCTGCAAGTGTTTCTTCATCCCAAAAGCGTGCTGGTCCACACACGATTGCAAAACGGGCTTGAAGTACCCCAAATGCCCGCTCTACATCTTTTCTTGCCGACTCTTGTGCTTTAACAATATATTTTTTCTTCAAACCTTGTGGACAAGGAATTGTTTTTACAAATGTCGACCAGTTTGGATAAATACCATCAGCTAGATAATATTTCATTATGTATTCATGTCCATTAATTATATAGTTGACTGGAAGAGCATGATCATTTGCTAATAATGCAAAAACAGGGGACTTATCTATAACATTTATGTCATTCAGCAAACTAGGAAGCCCAAAGAATGCATGTCATATCCAAAGATCTTGAGAAGCCACAACTTCTAAAATGATTGTTGGTACATGACAATGACTAGTATACATACCTTGCCACGCGGTAGGACAATTTTTCCACTTCTAATGCATGCAATCAATACTCCCTAACATGCCGGGAAAGCCACGTTGGTCCCCTGTCTGTAGTAATCGAGCAATATCAATATTGTTTGGTGACCTCAGGTAATGATCGTCAAACACTGCAATAATAGCTTTCACAAACCTTCTCAAACTTTGTATGACAGTGCTTTCCCCAATTCTGATGTATTTATCCATAGAATCTGCCGGTGTTCCGTAAGTAAGAATTTTAAAAGCAGTTGTTATCTTTTGAATGGATGACAAATCGAGAACTCCAACGACATCTGTTGTTTGAATGAAGTATGGATCGTGTTGTTCAACCTCATTTACAATTCGGAGAAAAAGAGGACGACTCATTCGGAAAAAACATTCATATACACAAGGGGTAGTAAAATAGTCACGATAAAAGTCTTTCGTTATCTTCAACTCTACCAAGATTAACTATTCTGTGGCCTGAAACGGAATCACGATACCTTTTTATCTGTCCCTGACTAGACCCTTCTAACTTTCTAGTTGCAGCATATAACATATCCAAGTCATCATTATCTTCTTCTTCGATATTGAGGATCTCTCCTAAAATATTAGGATAACGATTCATGTAACTTGATAAAGAAAATATGAAAGGATAAATAGTCAAAGAGAAAGGGATATTGAATTTATAGAGAGAATGTAAGATAGATGGATGAAAACATGAAAAAATAATCATATTTATAGATGAATTATATTTTTTAAATTTTTTATTTTACGGTTAAATTTTCAAATTTAAATTTCAACGGTTGAAATTTAAAATTTGAATTTTGACGGACAAAATTTGAAATTTAAAATTTTTACTATAAAAATGTATCTGTTAAATTACGATCGTTATGAAAATTATACCCGTTAAAATATAACCGTTAAATTTAATTATATTTTTAATAAAAGATATTAAAATATTAAAATAACACCGGCCGCAGAAACAGTATTTTGGGTGCCAAAATATTGATTAAGGTTGCAAAATGGCATTTCGCACCCCATTTTTTGCAACTTCCCTCGGAGTTGCTCTTAGATCGCAATAGAGAATCCCGTGTTCGGAGTTCGGTTCTCGGTCAGTTCTTCCGCCGCCTGCTGTCACCGATGAGGGAGTAATACCTCCATTCCTTGGAGTTCAAATTTGTATGTACCTCTATATATATATGTACGTACACACATAAACACACAGTCGTACATATATGTTTATATTGTAATTTGTAAACATGGATTCTTTGAAAGGAGCGCCTTGATTTTTGCGGTTTATTTAACCTCTCCTCCACCCCCCACCCCCCAAAAAAAATAAAATAAAATGATTTTGATAGTTTTTTAAATGCACTTATAGTAATCGTGTGATCAATGAAGATGAAATCATTGGAAGACCCATCTGAGGAGTCTACTCCTCCAGCAAAACAACAGGGAGATAATGTTTTAGTCGGTGTCGATGAGGCAGTAGCCTGTGTGCATATCATACCCCGAGGGCTACATTGATTCCTGGTCCTTCAAATTGATCTTCAGCTCGCAGCTCAACAGGGCTCGACACCGGCGAAGGAATTTCCTTTTGCTGTTGACCCTTGTCAGTCCCAAGCAATCAAATGCTTCGATAGTGGGGAATCAGTCACAGTAAATTTCTGATAAAAATTTACATTTGTGGCTGTGTCATGTCATTGTTGAATATAGAAATAGCATATATTCGAAGAGCACATATTTGTTGTTAATTTTTTTGGGAGAATATGTTCTATGATGTGGTTGGATAGTTTTGTACTAGCCGCTTGAACATCGGTTGCACCCCATGTTTGGTACCTATAGTGGAGTTTTCTTGCTACCCCAGTGAAAAGAAAAAAAATCTGATTGTTCATGCAATAACAAATACCAATGTGGATGGAATACACCAAGCATATTTGGTTTGACGAGTCAGCTACTTAATGCCACCATCTTCCTTTATCCGCATTGGTATTTTTACGGAAATATCTTTTTGGTATATGGATAGGTATCGGCACACACATCAGCAGAAAAATAACTGTTTTAGCTTTATATGCGATTGCTATGTCATTGTGGAAGAAGCACGTGTTTTGTACACTTCACCTATCAAGGCACTCAGCAACCAAAATTATAGAGAGTACGTTAGAGTTCTCAGATGTTGGTTTGATGACTGGAGATGTGACAATTCATCCCGATGCATCTTGCTTGGTAGGTCTGATGGTTAATGTGATGTTTGTTTTCAATCTGTGAGCTTTAGACTGCCCCGATTTTTTGAGTTACTGAGTTGCAATATTATATTAGGTGATGACTACAGAAATCTGGCTTAGTATGCAGTACAAAGGATCCAATTTATATGAGAGATGGTTTGGATTATATTTGATGAAGAACATTACATGTGCGACAGAGAAAGAGGGGTGGTATGGGAAGAGAGCATTGTCATGGCCCCAAAAAACTCTTGAATTCGTATTCCTCTCTGCTACGGTGCCCTATGCCAAGCGTTTGCTGATTGGGTTGCAAAGGTGCTTTTTATTTTTTTTCATTTATCACCAGATTAAGATGACTATATGTACTTGCGAAGTACGATTAGAGGGTGAGGCTTGTAGATGTAGCTATTCTCAGTAGTATTTTCAGGATTGAGACTGTTCCCTGATTAAATAGTGAAGCATCCTGTAGGATTCCATATTTCTTTTTCTGCATGGTAATTTAAAGATATTAAATTTATAATAGTTAACACTTCAACAGCTAACATCCTCCCTCTCAACCCAAAGGAAAAACACTGCACTGTATGTGTAGGCTGAATATCAAGACAGATATTATTCCTGAAAAAATAGTTGGCGGTAGGTAATTGATTCTACTACCCTTTTCTCTTTGCTATTGTTAATTAGAAATGAGATTTTTAGGGAATATTACAAGAGCAAGATAGACCCTTCTATAAAAATGAGAAATAAACCTTGAAGAGATAGACAGCAGGAAGGGAGATATAAAGGGGTGCTTAGAAAGGAAAATTAAAGAGGAGAGAGCCTTTGAATTAATTGAGTTTATTTTAAAGTTAATTATCCACACCCATTAGCTTCACTGAAATATTGAAGTCTTCAAGTTTGATTTTTCATATGTAGAGAGAAATATATGCCTGCTTAATGTGATGGTATTAATATTATTTCCCAGAGTTCAGGTCCATCGGCAACCATGTCATGTCGTCTATACTGATTATAGATCAACAACCCTTCAGCATTGTGTCTTTCCTTCTGGAAGTGATAGTCTGTGCTTAGTGGTGGATGAAAAGGGAAAATTTTGCGGGGATAAAAAAGCTTGGAATGCTCTTGTACCTGCTAGCGAAGGTGAGAGGAAAAGGGAGAATAGAAAATGGCAGAAGGGTTTGATGATTGGTAAAGCTGGTGAAGAAAGTGACGAATTCAAGATGGTGAAAACGATTATTCAGCACCAATATGATCCTCTAATTTGTTTCAACTTCAGCAAAAGGGATTGTGAATTTCTTGCAATGCAGGTAATTGGTGTAAAAGTTGCACTTAGAGGGAAGATTGCTTACTTTTGAACCTGTATTAGTGAAACTACTCAGCCTTTTCACTTGATTTGTACTGTTTTACAATGGGGTGCCATGTCGTCATGACTTTTGATGGGTCCACCTCAAATATGGCTCAATCATTTTTTTTATAGGAAAGGATATGATATCATTAATAATAAAAGCAAAAGGAGGTAAAACAAACTAATCAAAGGTGACAAGTTGTCCAAACCAAAGACAAGCCGAAACAAAAAAATACAACTTGAAAAAAAAAAAAACCATAACTACATTCCACAAGAAGCTGTCCAACTCGAGATAATGCAGAAGAGACGAACATTTTTCATCAGCTAAATAATTATTTATTGCACTTTTCAGTTCCTTCTGGAAGAACAAAGTCTCTCACATGTTCATTTTTTATTTTTTTTCACTCTCACTCCTTTTGTTATCTGTTGTTAGGATAATGTTATTATTTATTTTCAAACATTTAGTTCACTTTGGTTATTGATGCAAAGGTCTTGTTCTTTTGCTTGGTTCTCAGATGGCAAAGATGGGTTTAAATGAAGATGATTGGAAAGTGACCATAGAAACTATTTCTTGGAGTGCTATGGATATGTTATCAGTTGATGGTAAGAAGCTACCTCAGGCAAAGATGTTATTATCCTTCTGTTTAATGAGTGTGACTGGAAAGATGTGATTTCCTTTTCATATTATGCCTTGACGTCGTGCCCCTCTTACAAATGCATTGAGATTGATAGGCTTGTTGGCCTGATATCATGGAGGCTATTGCTTGGGCGAAAGGGTCCAAATTCTACGAGATTATGGAAATCACACAGGTATTTAAGGGAAGCTTGATCAGTGCTATTAGAAGACTGGATGAAGTTCTTCAGCAGCTAATACAAGCTGCAAAATACATTGAAGAACTTGAGCATCAAACAAAATTTGAGGACGCTGTTGCCAGGATCAAGAGGGATATTGCTTTTGCTGCATCTCTATACTTGTTGACTGATAGATTTTGGTTTTGCTCTGAAATATAAGATAGGGATGTAAACCCCTGCAAGAGTAATTTTGAGTAATCTGCAAGCAGATGCATGCAGTATCGCTACTGGTAAAAGAGATGGGAGATCAGTTCCGCCAAGTCATGTCATATGGTGTCCAACATTTCTGGTGCGCTAACTTGTATCCATGGAGGCTCTCACTGTGGAATTATATTTTCTGCAATAAAGAAGATCATCTTAGTTTTAACAACGATACCCTCAAGGATTGTTCATATCAAGAGTAGAAAAGGAGACTATCCTTGGCTTTCATTTTAGGCACCAAAACAGCAAGAATTCAGAATGAGGTAGTCATTCTCATGTCAGTGAGCCTAAACACTCTGTTTCACTTTTGGCAGATTTTTTGGCACTGGTTTTATGCCATATGACAAGTTCAGTGGTTAGCACTATCATCCCGAATGATATTTCTTGCTCGTATTATTTTAACAGTAATTTATGATTTCCTCTTTTATTGTATAATAAATATGTTCCAAGACCGTCCTCAATTTTGCTGCGATTGTAATTGATGTTGACATAGTGGAGGGGCTTAATCTGAGATTCATGATAATTAAATATATTTTTGGTTGCTAATGGTGTTTTTAATTCAAATCCCTCTCCCTCTTTTAGATGCCATGTTTGCATTTAACCAGTTGTGTTACAACAAATTTTGAAGCATATTAGGTTACTTTTAGAATTTCTATCTGGGTTGGTTAGTTTTAATATGAATTATGGTTGGTAAGCATAACACTCTTGTAGATACATATTTTTTTTTGGTGTAACCTCTTGTTGACTTCAAATTATTTCTAGTTTGAGATGATGTTCAGGCTCCAAAACCAGAATAATACCACTGGTGTTCACAAGCTACAAAGATGAAGCAAGCTCAAGTTGAAGTTTGAAGCAATCGGCTGAAAAATGTATGCAGTTACCAACTGTTCCATAGTTACAACTACTTTGCACAAACTGTAAGCACCCCTTTATTCCATTACTAGATTTCTGGCACCCAGTAGAAACATTGTCACATAAACTCCAAACAAGAAAACAACAGTACATGTATGCCAAATTGCCTATCCCCCAAAGGCAGCTAACCTCAACACCATTTACAATGAAAAACTCAAAAGTTACGACCAGATAATGTTACATAGGACTATCCCTTCCAACTATAACTATTGGTTTCGTGTTGCCCCATTCATAAACATCCTTTGATTAATTGGATGAAAGGCTTTGTCATTTGGCTCCTAAACTATGAGTTTGTTTTACTTCGCTCCAAACTCTAATAGCACTCGGACATTGTCTGTTTAAATTAATTTATGTATTTGATTTTGGGGGTAATGTGAAACTAGTTCAAGTTGCAATGTGGGAAAGTCGAGAATAGAAAGCGTAAAATGAAATCAAAGTATTTAAGACTACAACCATACAAAATATAATTTACCCAATTGTGATATGTCCAGAAGAAAGAACAATTGGGTTTCTCCGAATGCTATTCTGAATATTCTTCCACAAGCTTTTCTAGTTGTTGGTCTGGAATAGGTGACTATGGTGGCCTAAACAACAAGAACTTGCCCGATATTGTCTCAGTAAACTTCTCGAATGCGAAAGCAGGGACAGAAACAACGGATCAAATGGACACCAATGTCAAAAACACATCCGAAGATTCCACCAGATCTTTCTCTCCTAACTTCAGACACAACAGGAACACCATACACAGGATTTGGAACCATATACTGCTGATAAGAAGTGTTGCAATAAGACAACGTTGGGTTAACTGGATTCACCTCATGAACAATGTCTTGTGGAGCAAAATCAACTTGACTCAAACCAGCTAAACTTGACACAGAACCTGCCTCAGGCGTAAAAATGGTGTCATGGGTCAGCTCGTAATCGAGCCACGATGGTAGGGGCGGAGCAGAGGGCTGAATTGGGTGGCATAAACAGTGACAATGGCAGGGAGGGGGTGGATAGTCAGTGATGAGATGGGTCTTCTTTTTCTTCTTTTTCCTGGACCAGAACTTGAGCTTCTTCATTGTTTTCATCATTTTCATGACTTCCGTAGTTGAAAACTTTTGTTGTGGGTTTCAAGATGTATGTGGAAGCATGTGCTAAAGAATTAGTGAAGGCATTGTTAGAGGTATCTTTGAAGAAAGTTAGGCAACCAAAAAGGAGTGAAAAGAGGAGCATTAATTCAAAGTTCTAAATATTCAAATCTTTTGACCGTTACCCACCGACTCCTAAAGGATGTGAGACGCTTTGTATCCTTTTTTTTTTTTTTTAAAAAAAAAAAACTTTCTTAATTCAATTTTTTTTTTCGTTATAATCTATCTACATATAAATATATTTAAGAAATTACCCAAAAATTTTATTATATTTATAAAATGACCTCTCTGACTTTGTTGGCCGGAGCTAATGAACGGTATACTATTGATTGGAGCATTGCTACTCTTATAAATTATTTATTAAATTTTATCTGAATTGTTAAATTAGCGAGTTCTAATAAAAAAGAATTTGGTACTAATTTGACTATTTGGCTACAGGTTAACATGAATACTCCATGTATCAAGAAATTTTTGTATGAGTTTAACACATCACTTGATAGTGCCATGTATCACTAATATAAAATTATATATGCCCAATGAATATTTATAACCTATCACGTCGCAAGATTTTTGTTAAAAAAAACCAAGTTGTATGTCTCACAAGCTAGTTTGTATGATAGGCTCCCATTGGGTGTGAAATAAGGATGTGCAAGTACCCGAAAATTTGACACCGCCTTCTATCTGTCTGAGTCCGAGGGAAAACTCAAGTCTTAGAACAAAGTCAAAGTTTGAAATCCTTTCCAAAAATACTCCCGATTTTGACTTTTATTAATTAAAATTTTTATATATATTATATATGATAAATCATAGAAAAACAGTCCATATTTAGAGACTTTTTAGGCTTTAGGTCAAGCATGAAAACTTTTAAGGTCAAATGTTCATAAAAATAACACTTGACAAAAATTCCTTTAATGAAGTAAATTTTTTACCACATTTGCGAATATTTTTATCACAATTGTGATATGAACAAAAAAAATTGATAAAAATAATTACCATAACAACAATAATATCCACAAATGTGATAAATTTTTAATTATAAAATGACCAACCAAAATTATAAAAACACCCATTAAAGTAATAAAATCAAGTAGTACAGTACCAAAATTTTTTCTTCGGTAACATAGGTTAAGTCCATGCAAGTGGATAGTGAGTCATACACTCGTTAACATTCGAATGATCAATGATCCACCACATAAAAAAATAAAAAATTATAAAATCTAGATCCAAAAAAAATCAAGCTTAGGGCAAGAAATGAGCAAAATTAGTATCCTCATACACTCATTACATATATCGTATCAAAATTTACTCAATTCACACATTTATAATTGTATACAGTCAAATTTATCGAGACACAGTTTGCATTGCATTGTTGTGCATAATCTAGTTCCCATGGAGTACAACAAACATTAGGGTTTTGGGGGTAGGTAGCAATCAGATAATTATCAAGTATTAAACAAACTAGTCTTTGGGTAAATAAGGTGGGAGTCTTGTGCACTAGTAAGACCTTTTATATATACAGTTGTATACACGCCAATTGTAACAGCATAAATTAAGAACTTGAAGGAAAGAAAAAAAAAAGAGTAAAAGAGAGATGTTTTCTCCATCTCTTCTTTTAAAAGCAATGGTGGAGTAGACACTTTTTTTGAACCACTCCCAGGCTTAAACAAACAAGCAAACAAAGCAATAAATATAATACTATGACCAAATCATCTTTATGGCACCAATTCATTCAATGAAAATATATGAACTTAACAACCACGCTTCGAGAGTTGTCTTACCATTCTCCTTACCACCACGTCGCACGACTCACACAGCCATCCCAGCATGGGCAAGTTGTCATGGATGAGACTCTGTAATAAAACATAATCATGGATGGTTATCAAACTCACTCATCCCATTTGTTAGATTTCTTCCCAATGTTCTCCCCCTGCTTGGTAGTAGTACAAGTGAGCAACATGGGCATATCAATAACCAGACCACGCATTTGATGACTGCTCTATCAGTGCCAACAGCAGCATCCGAAACTGGCTTTTTTTGCTCAGCCCTCGTCATCAACATGAAGTTTTGTCTTGCGTGAAAGCTTCTTGACTTCCTCTGCTGTGTAGATAAAAATTTTTCTCACCATGTTGCAGAATTCACTGCATATATATGGATCAAAATTGAAAGTCATCAGCACAGACAAGGACGAATAGATTGAAATATTGAATTGGTTTTCATTTGAATACCAATTTCCTAAGATTTGTCTACATGCTAGTGAGTGGAATATTGGTCTTACGAGCAGCAAATAACCCCCAAGCATATTCAAAATAAATCCTCAAGGCAGATCCGTGTAGCGCTAAAACATAATAACAATTGCTATTTTCTTTATGGAGTGAACAAACCATGAATAGTCCCTCACACCTAACAACTGAGAGGAGATCCACACCATTTGACATTATTCAGATCGTCCATTTGACAGGCTTTAAAATCTATAGTGCAAATCTAAACAACCATCTACCCAAAAGCTTTAAACTATTGGAGATGGTGTAATTTTAAGTATTTATATTTAAACACGCCCCCACATGTGCTGGCTAGATTGTAGGCCTAGCACATAGAAATCTTTTAATAATCAGGGTGGCTGCAAGATTTGAACACTGGTCATCCTACTCTAATACCATCTTAAACAATCATCTACTCCAAAAGCTTAAGCTATTCGAAATGGGTTAACTTAAGTATTTATATTTCAATAGAAATGCATGCAGGATAAAAAGAAAACACATAAAATAGACTGCAATGTGAACTTAACTGCCAAGGATCATCCCCCACCATCATGATGTCATCCTCATCATCGGTGTAGACAACCTGCCATTTCTTTGATGATCCACAAAGTTCACCTTTGATGTCAAACACCTCCTCCAGTTTTATCAGCAAATCCTCATACCCATCCAACCGAGTCAAATCTACTGCCCGCCAGACAGCAGTCCCTTCCATGTGAACCTGGATAAATTATGAACAATATTCCATCAGAACATTATCATTTGCACCAAATATGACAGATTCACTCCTGATACTAGAAAGCAAAATAAAAATATCACCCGCTAAATTCTCCAAGTTTTGATGGAACAGAATATGAAACTGCAGCTCATTGAGGTGCACTAGCACACAATTATTTTTGTATATAATATATGTTCGATAATGGACCACTACATTGTACAATGCTAAAGTGTTTGGGCTAACTAATCACTTAGGCTTGCCCTCCATACACTCCTCCTAGCACTCTTAGTTAACCAGGACAAGAACTAGGTCATGCCCATTTTCTTTCCTCATAAAATTCAATCTTTCTGAGGGAAACCATGCGTCCATTTGGCTCATGGCTGCAACACAAATGATGGATGCATGCAAATTGAATCGGTTAATCCCATGTTTTATGGCCAGGGACTTGTCATCAGGACGTGTGGGCTTACACCTCGCCTCTTGTTCGACCACTGTACCAACCAGTCCGGGTTAGTTATCCTAAACATTACCAAGGGTAACAGCGGCACCTCCCCATATTCGCTAGCTTGGAATGCCTGATTCTTAAATGAAGTAGGCCTACGAGATTCATTGGACATAGATTGCTTGCGCCAGTTGAGACCGAGATTCCAGTTTTCAGATGACCAATTGAAAGAGTTTCCAGTACAACTAAGTGAGAAGATCTAATTTTCATTTCCAATGCTTACAACCAATGCCATGATTGAAAGCGATGAAAGCCTTGCGAGAGATAAGCAAGGTAAGGATATTTTAAAGAGTAAAAAGTAGACTAATGTAGTGTGCAGCGATGTGTGTGCAGAGGTGTGTGTGCAGATGCAGACGCATGCTTGACAAGTAAATCTAGGACCTGCTCCAATCTCCTTACAGAAACCCTCACTCAGATTTTTTCCTCAAAATAGCAGATTATCTACCGGAATGCCTAGTCTACTTTTTAACACCACCCAAAAAAAAGCCAAAAAGGGGGAAAAAGGCCAGCAGACAAATAATATTGAAATCAAAGCCATAAAAGTACCTTAGTGCAACTCCGAATTTGCCTGCTCTGTGATTCATGAGTAGATTGCAGGCATGATCTTTCAGGCTCACAACTTGAAGGAATATCAGATCTATTAATATTTGATGGTTCAGAATGCTGGTCAGATTCAGTATCCATAGATGGAGCTGGGTGATCCTCCACCTCTGCTCTGGACACAACCACTGCTGAAGTTTCTTCGATTGTGGAGTGGTCAAGTAGTTCAATCCCAAATAGCCTACATCTGTTTGCCTGTCTCTTTTCAGTAGCTTCAATGTTCGCAAGGGGTGCAAAAGACTCTGCCATGGTCCCCAATTGATTAGACCAATATGTTGACTTGCTGGAAATAGGAGGCAAGGAATTGTTCTCACTGTAGCTGAAAGAGCTGGCCTTAGTGCCAGAAGAGAAATTGGGTGATACATAGAGGTCTCGCCCACGGAGTGGATCACAATATGAAAAAGCAGAGGGAGAGTTAACATGTTGCGATTTCCACAATCCTGTTAGAACAAAGGCAAAATCAAATACAAATAAGTACATCATGGATATGCAAAGAAGAGTTCCTAAACATTTGTTATTATACCAAGCGGAGAAAGATCTTGGTTTGGCAAAGGTAAAACTGGTGGCCGTGCACGCTTATTCCTTTGTGGAGGTTGGGGGTTTGAAGGAGATGCTTCCCCAAGTGGCTCTATTTCCCAAGGTGAAACTCTGTCTGGACGCAAAATTGAAGAATGTTCATCCCATTGAATCTGATCATGGATGGAAATACCAATAGATATCAAATAATTTTCCGAAATGTCACATTTGAAAGGAAGCAAAGATAAACACCAAAATAAAGGAAGATATGATCATAAAAAAGCCTATAAACCAAGTCACTTAATTTGAGGGAGATTCCGGTGCTAAAGCAAGCCTATTCCCACTAGAAACCATATTCCACCCAAACCACTATGCAATCCTCTATTTTGGCAACCGTCACTTGAAAAAGATATTAGCATCAAAGGGGTTCTGCCATATAGGATTGATCACTTGGTTGTCATGTGTGAGTTAACCTAAAACATGGGATCTTGTACAATATAGTTCAAGAAGTGGCAGATGCACAGAATAACAAAATAGACATTCGATAGGATTCAAGTTTCCATTAAAAATATCAGTGGGGCAAGGCAAAATCGACATCAGATCATAAACATATCAAAATGACTAGAAAATAACTCTCTTATTCAAAACAACATTCAAACGTCGATGATCTCAAATACTCCACCTCTAATGCTGTTACTATACAAGTCTTAATCTTTTAGAAGTTGGGTACAGATTCAATCCCCTGGTTTACCCTGTTCATAAGGGGATCATAAAACTGAATTTCGATAAATCTCACACAGATATTTTACTCAGAAGCAAGTAGCCAAATGCACCAACTAAGTTCACCTTGGTGTTCCCAGCAATAGGCTAAAGAAGATACTGATAATATACATCGTGGACTTTGAAGTCAATTTGCAGAAGAGTTTCACCTCAGGGAAACATCTATCACCGCATCAACACATCATTCTCAAGTTCAGATCCAATATGAGCTTGATTAAAGAAATATACGCACCTTTAAGGATCTCCATTCAGAATCAGGCCATCTTGGTGATGTATTATCTCCAACACCAACAATTGTTCCACTATACCTATATAAACTTGTTAAAAAGACAGTTAATCAACACTTCCAAGCTGTTAAACCAACAATCTAATTGGCCAGCTAGACAATATACCTTCTTTCAGGTACTTCCTCGCCCTCAAATCTCATCTTAAACCTCATCCCAACAGAAAGCTTGTGGCTTTGAGCTTCAAGATACTTGTTAATATTTACAATGAACTCAGATTGACTTGTCCTGGCCACAGAAAGATTTTTTCCCTCAAGAAATCACAAAGCAAGAAAGAATATAAATAATGCAGCAACAACATGATAGAAATATAAACTTCAGCTGATAGGAATGAATTGTTACATAATACATATAACTAACAAATAGTTAGTAATAAGAAAAGCTAATTAAATAATTACAAACAGTCTTGAGTCAACGCCTTGCAAATCTTAGATACTTTGTTTCCACAACTGGAAAATGAGATTCGCAAAAGAGATTAACCAACGCAAATACTCAGAAGAAAAAGAACAATATATCTTCCAAGCCCAGGAATGTGAGGATAACATGGCATCCATACCAAAAGATGAAAAAAACTATGCAGCATAGAACCAAAACACATCCCCAAACATGAAAATATGTTCAACTTACGAAAAAGAAAAAGAAAATTTCTTAGAACTCATAAAGTCCCTCCAAGCTTTGAAAAGCAAATATAGATCCGGTTGAAGTATAAATACTTTAATTACACCATTTCTAACAACTTAAACTTTTAGCGTAAATGGTTGTTTAATATGGTATCATAAGTCTGAGGTCCTACGCTCAAATCTCGCCACCACCCCAATCATTAAAAAATTTCATGTGCTAGGCCCAAAATCTAGCATGCACATGAGGGGGACGTGTTGAAGTATAAATACTTAGGTTACACATTATCTAATAGCTTAAACTTTTAGAGTAGATGATTGTTTAATAAATTCTACACGGTGTTAATGAAACTAAGACACCAACACAAAGATATCAAGAAGATGAAACGAAGGGAAATAAACTCAATCTTTCAGTGAAAAAATAAAGCAAAAGATACAACCTTGGTTTATAGTAAACTGAAAAGAGGGTTCCAGTCGCAATGGCATGAGATGCAGTAGCAAGAACCCCGAGATGCATGCTGTGACTAGATATAACTGAAGATGGCATATTGTTTAGTTGCCTCATCAGCCTCCGTACTCCAACACGCAATTCCCCGTTTTCTCCCCTGTAAAAGATATGTAAAGAAAATACTAATTTTAGGGCAGCAAACTTCAAAAGTAAAATGTCACAATTCCATCAGACTTCATAATACTTGCCTCAGGAAAATGAAAGCGTCACCTGCCACCAATTTCTTTGCGCTAACAAAGACACTCCACCCAGTTGTGAGTAAGTGGCGCCTCGGTTGCCCTGCAAGTGATGTTAAAAACACAAGTACGTCTAAATGACACGACGACTGAAAAATGAAATGCAGTCAAGATTCAGTGAAATGAGAACCAAGAAATCGATGAATAACTGAGTTCTAAAATCCTTATCCACACCGAAAGTGTTGAGCATTAATGTGCCGCAAGACACATCTACCACAATGTCTTGAGCTACACACTATCAATCACAAAATCCCTACTTTTTTGTACGTGAAGTACAAAGAATGGTAGTGTTAAGAGTAGTCTAGTATATTTGGTATTGGGGATAGTTTAGTTGTTTACTTTATTTGCCCTACTATATAAGGATCTCTATTATGTATCTTTGGATGTGTGTTTGTTTTTTTGTAGACCCCACACACGAGCTTGATTTCCAGGCCTACATTGAATAATTAGAACCATCAAGGTTGGTGTATATATACTTGAGAGGCCACTCCACCCATTGTCAATGAATTTTGTGTTGGATGCTCCAGCACAAACATTCTAAAAGTATGCAGAACTTTGTTATATACTTGCCGAATGTTTGAAGTACACACCTATGTTCTTAAATTCCAAATTTGAAAGCTAGCAATTCCCCAATACAAAAATGAATTTTCTCACTACCAAAGGAGCCCATAAAAGAAATCCTAACCTCGAAAGATATGACGAAAATGCCACTCATTTCCATTAAGATCAGTCGCAACTAACTCCTGCCAGGGTGGCTGTTGGGACATATCCTGATCAAATAACTGACTCAAGACCAAAAAACCAAAACACCAAGGAATATGGAGGAGGAAATGAGGCTATAGTTAATACAGTCAAGTCGTTACATGAAAATTTAAAGCTTACCAGTTGAGGCAAACAATCGTCTGCATGCCTCCGAAGAACTGAGAAACCACCATGGGTGCTTGTGTCAGAAGCTGTAAGAGTCTTGCAAAATGAGTGGGCAGTGCACCTTTCAGGTTCTGGGAGTGGAGGATCTGGGCTTGTGACCTCACCTTGCTGATCCGCAAAAAAAAATAGAAAAAAAGCAGGCGCAGCCAAAATTAAAAAAAAAATTCACAAATCCCATATCACACATAGATATCCAGTACAATGACTAGACACTAAGAAGCACGAACACTTTTAAGATGCTGACGTATCCGTGTCGAACACTGCCATTCCTCGGATACATGTCTAAACACTCTTCTATCCACGTCCCTAATTAAAAGATAATATTTTAATCTTGAACACGTGTTCAACACTTTTTAGTGATGTGTCTGGCACTTCTTTCGATCATGTCCACTACTGAAATTTAAATATACGCTACCAAGTAATAACAAAATTTAATTTTTTTTATAAATGACTATCTTATAGTTTGAGCGAATATGTAATTGTTAAGTCAAGTCATGTTAAAGTTGTACTTAAAATTTATTTTAAAAAATGCATAAAAATTTTGCTTAAGAAGAGGAATTAAGAAGATGAGAACAATCATTATAATTATACATGTTTGATACACATTGCCTCTAAAAAAATCAATGATTAATGACCACTATATCCTTTAAAAATTGACAATAGTTGACTAGATATAACATTTACTTGCCATAAAATATTGAATTTCTTGTGAACAGTACCATAATTAGTTATATATCTATTTGTAATGTGTCTTCAACATGTCCGTATCCTACTTTTTTGAGAAATGTCATGTCCCCGTGCCCATGTCGTATCAATGTCTCAAGTCGGAGTCCGTGCTTCTTTGACTAGACAAGTCAAAGAATAATCACGGGTAAACAATGAGGCAAAAGTAGAAAAACTCACATCCGATTCAGGAAGCAAAGTTATCTGCGCATAAACTTCATCCGTTATGCATTCAGCCTGCAGTCCAAGATAATACTAAGTGAAGTAAGAAAGAAAATAGCGGAAAATTAAATGAGGGCTCACAAATATGAAAATAAATCCCCTTTGGAGCGCATAAGAATCACCATCAGACTCACCCGAAGCTGTACATTCACCACTTTGCAGAGTATTTTATCTGGTAAGTTGAATGAAGGGAGTTGTTGGTCTAATCCTTGATGAGTTGATGCTTCAAGCTGTAAAAAAAATGTCCGTGGAATAGAGGAGGTAAAACACTCAAACAGGAAAAATTGATAAGATATGGAAAAAGAGTCAATATTAATGGTTCCAATCCTTGTAAAGATTTGTTAAACAAGTGAAAACCCATGAATTCCCATATCAGAATAAAGATATAGGTTTCTCAAGTTCCACAAATTTATGAGATATACATACCAAGAATATGGTATGTATACATATTGCCACAACAAAAAGCCAAATGGATGGGAAGCAATTTTCCCTTCAAGTCAGTATAGCTACCAACAAAAAATATGGACTCACCAGTTCAGCCAAAAGTAAATGTAAATATAAAAAGGGAATAAAAAAGCAATAACCTGTTCCATGTGACCTTGTGGGAAATAATAAACCCGTTCCCCTTCATGAGGAACCGTGACAAGGGGTCCAGCACAGGCATGCCACAGTTCCTTGTATAAAGCATCATTTGAAACCCCTGCAATAGGAGACCACATCAAAAATACCATACATCAAAACAAGAGGAGGAGACAGAATTTTGCAACAACTATAAAGGCATGAAAGTATTCAGGTGTACAAATACTTCAATGAAAATCATGGCCAATTGACAGTTGTTCAGGCAGAAAATCATTATAAGCATCACCACAAACTTCAAACAATATGGTGACCGTATTACTATTAGTGTAAGTGGTAGTGACAAAAACTAGTATTTATGCAATCGAGCAAAGCAGAAGGCTACTTGCTGGACAAAGGCCAATGCAGAGAGTCCAAACCACAAACGGAATAGAACTCAAGTACAATAGCACCAGAAAGGAAATCAAGCAGTAGAGACTCAATCATCAATATGTAACCATGTTGAACCAAAACGAAGGAACAATATCAAGCATATAGCACTGATCAGTTTCATAGAAAGCTTAGGAAAACACATACAGATGGAGCGGAGACAATAAACTATGTCCAAGTTTCACTTTCACTAAACAGGGGATTAAAGAAACAAAGAAAACAAAAAAGAAAAATATTGTTGAAGCAACTGCTATTTTTATGGTAAACAAGCTGAAAGAAGAATCAATGTATGGTACACTGGCTACTCCACATTCAATTTTATGTTTCAAACATTAATTAACCCCCATCAACAAATATTAATCACGGAACAATGCTAAAAATGCAAAGTAAATAAAGAGTGAAAACCTGCATGGGACCCAGCAGAGACATGATTTTCCATGGAAAACCCCACCATTAAATCCTCAGAGGAAGCAATTGATATACGATGATGTCTGCAAAGCCTCAATCAAGGAAGGGAACTGCTTCTATATTAAAGGTTCTTGCTGCGTTGAAAAAGACAGAGACAAACTCCACTCAAAAAACCCACCAGAAATCAATTTGTAATCAATATAACCACCACAAGGTATATTCAGAATCAAGTTAATACAGGTCATGGCTTCTTATACTTCTCATGCGGCTAGTTAAAGCCCTTAATTCCTCAAGTCTGTTATTTTCTGCTTCGTGGTGGCCTTAAATGCAGCAAAAAAAAATTAGTTTGGAGGGCTTTTAATGAACGGTGTGCAAAGACACAGATCACCCAAAAAATAATGAATCATTGATTGAATCTATAATTCATATACTCCAAAAATTCTTATTTTTGGAGCTTAAGTTCGGGGAAAATGTCCCTGCAACAGCGAAAGTAATCACATGTTCTTAACGCTTCCAAAAAAAAAACTTGCCAATTAGTACACCGAACACGACATCAAACAACTCATAATTAGATCTGATGCATGATTATACTTTACATGTGCGCACACAAACACTCATGTATCTGTGTATACACATACATGCATATAACATATATATATATACAGAGAGAGAGAGAGAGAAGCAAGGGAGTTTTTCCAGCGACTCTGAGATCGACCTTCACAATGATACGACTAGAACACTAACTAAGATCAAAGACATGAGAGAAGGGCACGATGAAATATACATACATAAAATACACAAAGATGAATGAACATGGTGATTAATCAGAACTGACTAAACCAAACAAGCCAGAATTCCCATTGAAAAACCAACCACCCAGTAGAACAACTGTACTCTGTACCTCTGATCTAACACCGATTTGATTCCGCCCTAGAACAATCCGCCATTTCCATACCCATTTCAATCAAAAAGAAGCTCCACAGATAAGTTCAGAAACAACACCGTAAACTCAAAGGAGAGAACTGGATCGCATAGCAGTGCAAACTGGTAAACAATTAGGGTTTCACAAAGAGTAAAGTTAAGGACCAATAGAGATGGACTTGAGAGAGAGATCGGTGATGGTCTTTGCCTGGTTGAAGCCGACACAACCCGTGCAACTATTAAAATTATAATAGATGTTTTCTCCCTCTCTCTCGCTTTCTCCACTTTCTCTCTCTACCTGTATTGGTTGTACGTATATATGTTTCTCGCACTCTAGGACGGCTTGGGTTGGTTTCCTTGTTTCTCTCTCTAGAGTAGAGTAATAGAGTAGGCAGGGGGTGTTAAAGCGGATAGAACTTAGACCGTTTGTTCAGAAGGGTGCGTAATGCGCATATCCTCTCGTTGGCTGTAATAACAGAACGAAACAGGGATGAAAAGCGTGCCCCGATACGGCTACAGGTTTCCGATTCTGTGTCCACGCGCCAAAAGAAGGCAAAATTATACCTAAACCCCTTAAAATTCATAACTTAATCATAAAAACCCCTTCAGATATGAACATAACACTGTGATACTTGAGATTTGGTTATGTATAGCACATACCCCCTGCAAACTATGGGTAATTCTTTAAAAAAAAAAAATTTAATTGGAGGGTGTCGGAGGATTAGATTGTCAAAGAAGACCTTAAACCTTGGACTTGATCGTCAATCTTTCTAGCCTGAATTAAAGTGAACTTTGGATCCAAAACTATAACCTCATTCCAAAGAGACCAAAGGACTATATAGAGACATCTTGATGGGAATCCGCCTCAACCATGTGACTTTTCACTTAAGATCAAGTCAACTGCTATTTCAATTTTAATTTTTTATTTATTTGAATTTTGAAATGCTGTTGTTGATTTTCAGCTGGTTGTTAGTTATTAGTTCCATTTTGAATTCCTTGTTCTCATTCACCTCTTCTATAAAAAGAGGTAGTTCATTAAAATTGGGTAGAGAACATTTGATCCTAAATTAAAATTGTTCCTTTTGCGAGATGCCCGGAGTTTCTTTGTTGTGATGGGACATTTTCTATGATCAAGGGGGACGAGACACATGTCATCGACATATTGGCAGTGGAGTGTTTTTTGGACGACACGTGTTCTCGACACCTCGGAGCTTCCTGCAAGTAACACGTGTTCTCGTCACTAAAGGTACCTTGGAGTCCATGACATGTTGTCCGTGGAGTCCTCGACATCTTATCCACGGAGCACTCTCTACATGACACGTCATCTCGGCACTAAAAGTACCTCGGAGTTTATAACATGTTATCCGCGGAGTCCTCGACATCTTATTCATGGAGCACTCTCCACATGACACATCATCTTGGCACTAAAGGTACCTCGAAATCCTTGACATCTTGTCCGCGGAGCACTCTTCACATGACACGTCATCTCGGCGCTAAAGGCACCTCGGAGTCTTCATCACGTGACACGTGTTCCCGACTCCCAAAGTTTCCTGAGAAGACCTCCATCCGATGCATGTCCTCGGCGTCTAGACCTCCACTCTGCTAAGGTGTTGGTGATCACCTTGGGACTTGGGCTATGGCGAATGATGGAGTTCTTAGAAAAGTCAAGAATGACGTCACCACGTCATAGGTGGGGGCGACTCTTAATCATCAAACCCTCTTCCCAAGGTAGTCAGAATGACAAGATAGGTAACCTAGTTACCAATAGAGAGAGTCTACGAAGTACAAAGTTCATACGATGTGACCTCCTGGATGGCAAAGGACGCAAATGCATCAGCGCATGTGCAGCCACAACGAAAGACATTAAATGATCCCTCAGAAGGATGTGACACATTTATTGCTCGACGAACTCCGGAAGGAGTGCATTAAATGCTCGGAGATCCAGGCATTAAATGTAGAGATTTCTTTTGGCATGACAAGAAAGGCACTCTGCCCTAAGACTGTGCTCCATAAGCTGCCTTCCAACTGGACCAATGGGAAGCCTCTTCTTGACGGGACCCATTTGACAACAATGATGACCTACATAGAAGGTATAATAACACTCACAAATGTAGTGAAAAGGTACACAAAATCACCTTTCAAGAACATTAAATAGTATTTTCTTCTTCCCCACTCTCAAAGAACTGACTTGACCGTCGGAGGGGATACGTCGAAAACACTCTGGCTCCTTTCTAACCCCTCCTTTGAGTGTCAGGATACGCTGAAAAATACTCCTGCATGCCAGAATCGATCGGATAGTTAGAATAGCAATTCATCTCCACTCCTTAGGCCTCCATTTGCCACTGGATCGTCGACTTTTGAGGTAAACACGAGTTCACCAAGGGAAAGAGCTGTTTTTATTTATTTATTGTGCAGCAATCAGCCCGCACATTTGATCCTAAATTAAAATTGTTCCTTTTGTGAGATGCTTGAAGTTTCTTGGCTGTGTGTGAAACTCTTCTCTGCATGAGCACCTAATCCGAGAAATACACAGGGGTGGTCTTGCTGGGCATTTTTTGCAGGGACAAAACTCTAGCCATGATGGAAGACAAATTCCATTGGCCGAATATGCAACGAGATGTATCCAAGATGATTAAGTTCTGCCAAACTTGCCAACTGGTGGAAGGAAGCAAGTCCAATGCTGGTTTTTTTTCATGTCCACCACTAGTGCCTCATACACCATGGGATGATATTAGTATGGATTTCATCCTGGGTCTCTGAAAAACTGCACGTGGACATGACTCTATCTTTGTCATTGTAGATAGATTTTCTAAAATGACCCATTTTGTGCCATGCTCTAAATCCTTTGATGTGTCCTGGGTTGCATGATTATTTGTTCAAGAAATTGTTCGTTTACATGGGATTCCTTTGACAATTGTATCGAACAGAGATGTAAAATTTGTTTGTTATTTTTGGAAGACTTTATGATCAAAACTAGGAACAAGACTCAAGTTCTCTTGTGTTTTCCACCCACAAACAGACGGCTAGACAGAAGTGGTAAATCATAATTTGGGCAATTTGCTCCATTGCTTGATACTTGTTCATGTTTACTTCTTGGGATTTGATTTTGACGTAGAATTCGCATACAATAGCTCTGTGAACAGGACTACAGGTGTTTCTCCCTTTGAAGTTGTTTTAGGGATGATGCCCTGTCAACCTATGGATTTAATTCCCTTAGTCATGAAGAGCCGTGTAAGTGATAGTGGAGGAGATTTTGCAAGGCATATTCAGACATTACATGAAGAAATCCGCAGGAAGTTATTTATCAATAATGATAGCTACAAGTGCCAAGCAGATATTCGTCGCAAAACATGTTGAGTTCCAGGTGGGAGATAAAGTTTTATTGCGACTCAAACTAGAGAGGTTCCCTCTCCATACTTATCAAAAACGTCATCCGTAGTGTGCTGGTCCATTCAAGATTCAAAGTCGCTTGGGGCAAAATGCATATTTCTTGGAGCTTCCTTCAGATTTGCATATTAGTCCAATTGTTAATGTGGAAGACCTGTAGTTGTTTAAAGGCCACTATGAAGAATTAGAATCCATTCCTCTAGTGCCCAAGCTTCCAACCCGAAAGCTTCCAAAAGAAGAAATTGAACAAACCCTAGATGATGCATTGATTTCTACTAGAAGGGGAGGATATCATAAATTTCTTGTCAAGTGGAAGAATCAACCACTTTCGGATGCTACCTGGTTGCAAGGATATAAGGTTCTCTTAATTCAGACCTTTACGAATTTTATCAAGACAACCACTTGTCGGAGACGAGTGCTTTTCCGACGTAGAGGAATTGATGGGGTTCTAGCTCAACTAGGCGACTTTTCTGCCGATAGACACTCGGTCTTCACTTATACTCCGTTTGGTCGAAAGGATGAGAAGTAGGAAGGATAGAAAGTAAGAAGAATATACTTTCTATTCTTCAAGGAAGGAAAATATGAATAATACAATTTCTTTCCTTTGTGTTTGGTAGGATGGATGAAAAATAAAAATAATTAATTTTTTTTTGTTGGCTAAGATTAGGGGTGATAATCTAGTCGTGTCGTGTCAGGTTCGTGTTGAATTATTGCGGGTTTATGTCGAACATTAGTCAATTCTAACTAAACTTATTTAACTAATTGTGTCGTGTCGAATTGATCTGTTTATTTTTGTGTCGTATTCATGTTGAGTTATAATTAAGTTTGTGTCATAAAATTCGTGTCGAATTCGAGTCGTGTTATTGTGTTGAGTTGAAAATTTTCACCCCTAACTAAAATGAAAAAATATTTTAATTTAATTTTTAAAATTTTAAATTTTAAATTTTTTAAAAAATTTATATGAATACATATTTTATCATTATATTTATATATGAAATTATATGTATCTATCAAAAGATATATAGACAAATAAGATTCATCTCAATACAAATAATTAACTTTTCATTCACTTTCCTTCCGATTTTGAAGGGATTAATTTTGTTAAGTTGGAAGGAAAGTGAATTCATCAACTTTTTCATCTTTCCTATTTTTTTTCCTTATCAAACATGATGTTTTATTTATTACTCCAACTTTCCATCCTTCCAACTTTTCATCCTTTCATTTTTTTCATCATACCAAACGGAGCATTAAGATCAAGTCAACTACTATTTCAATTTTAAATTTTCATTTATTTTAATTTTGAATTGCTTTGGCCGATTTTCAACTAGTTGTCAGTTGTTAGTTCCATTTTGAATTCCTTATTCTCATTCACCTCTTCTATAAAAAAAAGGTAGTTCAATACAATTGGGCAAAGAATGTTTAATTCTAAATTAAAATTGTTAATTTGGTGAGATGCCTAAAGTTTCCTAGTTGTGTGTGAGACTCACCAACCCCAACCCCCCCATTTCTTTTCAATTTTCCCTCATATTCTCTACATCACATCTATATATACTAGCAATGCACACCACGTGCATTGCACATGAATAGTTTTGTACACAAAAATTAATAAAATATATATATATATATATATATATATATATATATATATATATATATATATATATATATATATATACATATAAAAAAACAGTTCATACTTTGAATTTTATCCCACATATATTTTCTCCTCCAAACTTATCACTTCTCACACACTCCACTGTCGGTATCATTACCATCGTCAAAGAAAGAGGCGGCGAGACCGACATGGCTACTTCCCCAAAACCAATACCTGACTTCGTTTTTTTTTTTCTTCACCTTTCTCTCTCTCTCTCTCTCTCTCTCTCTCTCTCTCTCTCTCTCTGTCTCTGTGTTACCACCATCAGAGCCATAGCCATCGAGTTCGCTGCAGCCACAGCCACCGTTGTGGCCAGGTATTCCCCCTCATCCCTTTTCTTTGCTTGATGTACCCACCTCCACAGACCCAGCATACCCCCCAACCATTCTTCCCCGTCTGCTCAA